CTCTTTGAAAGCACTGATTCTTCAAATGATGTCACTTTGACATCTATAAAACATTATACTTAAACTATTAAGAGTATCTTCTATGGTGCCTGTGATATCATTTTCTGTCACTGAACATGATGTGCTCAAAATGGAGGTCATGTTAATATAGAGAAAGATGGAACTGAGAATGTTCATCACACAGACTCCAAACCAAGAAAGGAGTGTGTTGTTTGCAGCTGGGTAATTACAGCTGGGTCCCCTCTGCTGAAACTCACTCCGCCCTCTTCTGGCCTGCCAGGGCACATCCAGAGAAGAGATGTGCCTGCCCAAGAATTACTCCGCCCACTGCAGCATCCCTCCCTCCATAAACTCCCTGAGGGCAGGGAACTTGGCCTTAGCATCCCTGTCATGGGCCTCACAGGGCCCATGGCAGGCATTTGTTGAATTGGATACTACTGAGGTTTCTAGAAAGCCAGTGAGGGTGAAAAGCTGGGTTTTTGAGAGTTGTGATGAATTGCGGGTACAGATGTAAAAATCCCAAAGTCGGTTACATATGGTGGCAGGAATTGGCTGTCCAGATGTGTCAGAAAAGAAAGGGGCAGAGCACATGCTCTTACTATTAAGATATAAAAATTTAAAATAAATTGGATTAACTGTTATGGTGGACACTGTTTGGGGGTGTCCTCTCCCACCCTCTTCATCTGTAACAGATTCCTCCCTCTGTCATCTCAGGAGGAGGAGTTGGGATGGGTGGGGTAGGTGCCCAACTCAGACGTGGCCATTCAGAAGAATCCCTCCTTCTCCATCACACTCACGGGCCACATAAAATCCATCCCTGGGAATTTTCAGCTAAACCATGCCCCCTCTACTTCTACCCTTCCAAGTTATTTTTCTGTGCCTTGTAAACAGAAGAATCCTGCCTACTCAAGCTATTGACGGGACCCACAATATGTATTGCTCTAAGACGCTGGCCCCTGGCTCAACCCAACTTACAAATTACCATAATTACCAAGGGCAAAACCCAAGGTTAATGATGATACAAATTAATGCATACTTAAAATATATAAAAGTGTTCTATAACTACTACAAGATGAAATAAGGTTAATTAAAGTAATTTTCAAAATATTAACAGAACCATAGTTCCAGCAAGTGCAGGAACATTATCAGCACATTTGAATCATTAAAGGACTTAAACAATTTATAGAGCCATGGATAGAGCATTTATATTTGTGAAGGTCAAAAAAGGATAAACCGTTTAGCTTTCTTTGGTGTGTGTGTGAGCCTATTTTGTTTTTCCATGCTGTAGCATTCGTATATATAAGATTTAAACTGCTCTAATATTGTTTGTAGATTTCTATTTATGAAAAAGGGTATCTTGCCTATAGGAAAAATAATTGATTAAGTTTAACCATTCACAAATGGACAGTTATTTGTAGGTACTTAAACATGAAGATCTATCTGAGCACGGTAATTTGTCATTTTTAGTGCTTATTTGACTGTCTGTAAGAGCACAATTGAGTACAAAATGGCGATGTTTTTGTGGTGTTGCTGCTACTTTGATTGATAATGAGAAGATACGGTCACCATTTTTAATTTTTAAAATGCAAGATTATTCTGGAGTAAATTAACCTAATCACACAGCTCAAGTAAATTAATGTCAGTTCATTACCTAATAGCAAAAATAATATTAACCTAAAGAGTCTAAATCCCCTTCTGACACATATTCAATTTTTATAATGTTACGGTGACAGTTTTTTTCTGGATTATATGTTGTGGTTTCCAGCATTAGCTTCTCTGCTAATTGGAAATGTTGGAAGTGAGAACACAAATATTCCCATGGTGTTGAAGAAGGTTGCTTCCAGAATTGATCTAGCTATATTATAATTCGGACACCACTTCACTAAAACACCGTTGGGTATTTTGCATGGCAAGCCGGCTATAAATTCCCCCAGCAAGAAGGTCTCAGAGCTTTCGCTCCTGTGGCCTAAGTGCATTTTTTCCAAGGCAGCGCGGCCGCTCTCGTTTGGAGAAGTCAGGTTTTCCGGCCATCGTTCCGCCCCCACTGTCTGCTCTGGGAGAGTCCACAGTGCCGCCACTGTCTTCCCCCGCACCCGGAGGGCTGCTACCTAGATTTTCCCAAAATGGGGCCACACGTGGGTCACACAGACTGGAGGGAAGGCCCCGAGCTCACGAAATGTCTCCGCGGCTCTAACAGCTTGCAAAGTTGGGAAATTTATGTTCCAACCTTGAAAAAGGCAGAGTAAATACGGAGCACGCCAGCTATTTGTTTTCCTGTTGATGAACTCTGTGAGTCCAGGCTGGAAGCCCCCCAAGCACTGAAGGCTCCTCAAGAAGCAAAGTGTTAACCCTGAACGCTGGGGCTGCTTTCCCCGCCCCTTCTGTACTTCTTTCTCTCCCACCTGGAAAGTTCCAGAATAGCTCTGCGCTTTTGGCTTGCGATCTCTCCTGCTCACTGATGAGTCTGTTCCTCTTTTTATCACCAGGGCCAAAGACAGTGAAGGAAGAAGCCAAACGTCCACATGGTGGAAGAACGGTGAAGAACGTCTTGCAGAAAGGCTGCCTAGAGCCTGGCTCGGACGTGTTGAGCACAGCTTGCGTAGACCGGGGAAGTGAGTCAACTATTTAGAGCCAGACTTTTCTAGCTTTAAATATTTACCACACACTCCATTGCGATTGTGGTTTTCATGTTACGAATCCTTACGTTTCTCCTTGGAAATGTAACAAGTTAGCACTGCTTTCATTTGTTGTTTTCGTTTCTCCACGCCCCCCCACGCCCTCCTAAGCCCCCCCACCCCAACATGAGACATGCAGTTTATAGACCAGTCTAGGTAAAATGATGATCTTAAATCCCTTAATCACTCCTTATTTTTAAGGTCTAATCCACTGTTTTTACCATTTTACAAGTTTTCAATATAATCCTTCTAAGTATAAAATTACTACATCCTCTCTATGGGAAACATGGGAAATGGGTATAAAATTTTAAAAATATTATGTGTCATCTCATCACCCACACTTAAGTGTTGCTGACATTTTGATGTATTTGTCCCTCTCTCTCTCTCTCTGTCTCTGCCAGTTACACTATCTACAGGCTGATTTTTTTCCTTTGATCTTATATCATAAATATCTTCTCAGCATTTATTAGCAATCAACTTCAGAAATGAGATCCTTAATGACTTTGATAATATTCCATCATTGGAATGTACTTAACTAATCTCCTATTGTTGGATATTATAAGTAGCATTCCAGTAAACTCATTTCTATGTAAGTCTTTGGCCACAACTCTTAATAATTACTTATGATAGATTCCTAGAAATAAAATTACTGGGTCAAAGTATAGGAATAGTGTTAAGTTTCTTAATACGGTTTGCCAAACTACTTTTTCTAAAGAATGCCTATCAATTTATGCTCCCGCCAGTAGAGACTGAGATGCCTTGGCTTGCTAGGTTCTCATCCACATGGAGGACAGCTGTTTTTCATCTTAGCCTGTATAATAGGTACTTCCGCTGTTGGCACAGGTGGTGTGGCCCAGTGGTGGGGAAGGGGGGTAGACTGGGAGTCGGACACCTGGGCTTGGATTTTGGGTCTTCCTTTAGTCCGCTCTGTGACTTTGTGGAAAACCCTTTGCAGGAAGCATAAACACTTGGAACGGTAATGACTCCCCCAAATGAGACAATAGATACAAAAATGCCCTGTAAATGTAAAATGTAAGGTTTTCTTATTACTGTAATTTATCATTACTACCCATTGCTACTAGTACCTAAGAAAAATTAGGAATTGCATATGCAAATTATAAACAAAAAATGAAATGTATGGAAATGTTGATTTAAGGTTTTCTTTTAAAAAATAAGAGAAGAGGGGCGCCTGGGTGGCTCAGTCAGTTAAGCATCTGCCTTCGGCTCAGATCATGACCCCGGGGTCCTGGGATTGAGCCCCACAGGTTTGGCTCCCTGCTCAGCAAAGAGTCTGCTTCTTCCTTTCCCTCTCCCCCTCCCCCCTGTTTGTGCTCTCTCTCTCTCTCAAGTAAATAAATAAAATCGTTAAAAAAAAGAGAGAAGGTGACTTTCTTATTAGCATACTTTGTCACATTTCTTTCTGAGCTCACACACAAAAGATTATGCAGTTTCTGAAGTCTCAGATGAGCCCAACTGTAACATATGAAATAAAGTTGGCTATTGTCTTGGATCATGCAGACTAAACCACTAGTTCACAATTTTATGGAAGGTGGATTCAGGTGTCAGTGGTCGTTAGGCGGAGATGGCAAAAACTCAGGAAAATTTTCAGTCTTAACAGCCACAACTCAGTACGAAGCCTTCCCTAATCAGGCCACTCTGCTCCCATCATTCCACCATGTGATCCACCATCCACGTTCTTTCCCTCTTCTCCCCATTGATCTCTAGCTGCTTATCCTTTGAGATTTGCCCAGGATCCCCTTTCTCCTGAAGTCTTTCCCAGCTACCCTGGGGGTGAAAGCTTTCTCTTTTCTAGATTCTTCCCTCTGAACCCCCCCACCCCAGGCCAGCTCTGGATTGCCCACTGCTTTGTAAACGCCCTTCATCATTTCTAGTGTGTCAGTATTTCCTCCCTGTCTACACTGTCAACAATTCGAAGAGAGAGATTCTTCCCTTGCATTTGCAGCTCTGTGCACACTCTTGGCCCTAAATCAAGTTGCCCCTGAGGTTGACAAAGACAGAAAGTTTTACCAGGGGGCCAAGAACTCACTTTCCCAGTAACTCCCACTGGGGAAACTTGCTCTAGACCTTGTCTCTCTTGGCGTGAGGGGCAGGGAGGGCAGATCAGTGCCTCCAGCCACATTGCTTCTGGGGACTATTTTCCCTTCATTAATTGTGCTGACAGGATAAGAATAGCTCACAACCCAGCAGCAAAACGAATGTGGACAGTTTTATTCTTTCCTCATTTTTTTCCTCACCCTACTCCTCCTGAGTCACCTTCTCCCCTCCTTGCTAAATATATACCTCCTTTCTGATTAAATGTCACCGTTTTGTTTTTTATTTTATTTTATTTTATTTATTTATTTTAAGATTCTATTTATTTATTTGAGAGAGAGAATGAGATAGAGACAGAGAGAGCATGAGAGGGGGGAGCATCAGAGGGAGCAGCAGACTTCCTGCTGAGCAGGGAGCCTGATGCGGGACTCGATCCCGGGACTCCAGGATCATGACCTGAGCCGAAGGCAGTCGCTTAACCGACTGAGCCACCCAGGAGCCCTTTGTTTTGTTTTTTAAACAAAGCTAAAGAAGAGTCTGGGTTTGGGTGGTGTAATCATGATTCCAAAAGAAATATTAGTATTCTGAAGGCAACCATGGCATATTCACGTTTTGGAGAGGCGAAGTGTGATTACATTTCAGCGTCAATTCTAGATACGTTCCAATTTCCAAAGGCTTAGTTAGGGCATGTGTGATGGTAAGAAATAGAACACACCCCAATTACTCCAGTTCAGAGGACTGAGTAGAGGTGGAGGGAGCCACACCAGCCTTTCAGGCACATCAAGTTTGAAATGTGTTGATTTATGAAAGAGAACCCTGGTTTTAAAGGCAGTGAGAAGGACTGTGCTTGACGAAGGAATTGTTACCATGTAGAGAGGTAAAATTCTTTGCTTCCCGTCAGGCAACTGGGAGAGTTCAGAGAGCCTTTCTAGTTCTGAAGAGCTGTGAGAGAAGGGCTGCTGATGCCTGCATTCAGCCCTCGTGGGACATAAGGACTGCAACCATGTATGTCTACAATTCGGGCATTAGGTCCTGGGCAATGACCCAAGACAACTTTCTTCAGACTTTACAACACAGTTACAAAAAGAGTATTTGGCAAGTGTCCTGAGAAGAGGTTCTGAGAAAGAGCTCAGCAACCCAGCCAAGTATAATCGCCTCCCAAAATTAGGTCAAAGTTGTCAGCATTAGTTGAAGACCTGGAGGCTAAAGTCAGAGCACTCACCAGTCAATCGGTAAACAAATTCATCATTGGCCTTCTTCAGAAACCAGTCCGGGGGATCTCTTCTGCTTTACCGGCAAGAACGTTTTAAGAAAACATATGAGAAGGACAAGTTGAAATCTTTTCGTTGTTGTTGTTGTTGTTAAAGATTTATTTATTTGACAGAGAGAGACACAGAGAGAGAGGGAACACAAGCAGGGGGAGCGGGAGAGGGAGAAGCAGGCTTCCCGCGGAGCAGAGAACCCGAGGCGGGGCTCCATCCCAGGACCCTGGGATCATGACCTGAGCCGAAGGCAGACGCTTAACCGACTGAGCCACCCAGGCGCCCCGAGAAGTTGAAGTCTAAGTTGGCCCTCGCCACGACCAAAAGGAATCATTCCATAATCCAGAACTTCCAACTACTTCTTTCTTTCCATGCCATTTCCATGCCATTTCACATTTTGTTTTCATTTTAGTGCGCTTTTATTTTTAGAATCCTCTCCTAACTTTTTTCACCACCCCTGCAACAAAGACTCTAATAAGGGTGTGAACAGCACCCAGCACGTGGTTTTGCACAGTTTGGGGAGCAGTAGAGCTTTACCTTGGCTCCCAGACTCAGCCCTGCCACCCATGCAATCCCATGCCACCCACCCACCACCTTCCGGCCTCCAATCTTCTCAGTCTCCCCAAACACAGGCGAGATGGAGCCGAGCCTATCTCTGACATCATTAACAGTGAGCAAGAGATGAAGTAGCAGTCCACCAAGACCTAGTTCCAGGCGTAAAATTAATACTGCCTCAGACTCTAATCCCGTGTGGTAGATGAGTCCCGGGGGTTAACAGGATACACCCTCCTTACACCGTAGACCTTGCTTCCCAGGTCCCGCAGCTGTTGGACTGGAGGAAATGAAAAGGAAGAAGAGCAGTCCTTCTGACCGTCAGATTCTCTTTCTGTGGCAATCGGATGAGACGAAGTCTGTGAAGGGACTTTGAAAATAATACAGGGTCAGGAGATGTGAGGCCATAAAAGAGAGATGGTCAGGGGCCATGTGACTACCTCTGGCCCCAAAGCTTGTACAACGCAATACACATGATCTCATGTAATGCATTCAATAGGTCTGCTGTGCCTATTGCAGGCAAAAGTTGACTAAATGCTGTCACTAACATTTTGAATTCCAAATTCAGAAGAGAGAATTAAAGTCAAACCGAAATCGGCCAGTAAAAGAGGCGATGGGGCTGTCCAAATGGTCCGGGCACTTGTGGACGTTTCCAGCCTCTGAGAGTTGGTCCAGGGGCCATGTGACTACCTCTGGCCCCAAAGCTTTACAAGCAGGGCTGACGGTGTGTGCATCCCTGTGGCCTAGGTTGCTTATCAACAGAGTGAGTCCCACCCCACCCTCGCCTACTTCCTGCTTCATGCCCCTGGACACCACATATTGAGAGGGAGGGCACTTGGATCCCTGAGTCCCTGGATGGAGGAGTGCCTTCCCACCTGGAATGCACACCTTAGTCTGAGGGCTAAGTCACAGAGTCCAGTGGTTATTTATTATTTAGTATAATAAAGCCAATCCTTTAAAATACATTGATTTTTTTTTCTTTTTAATTACATTTCTTCAGGAGCTCAGTGCTCTTAAGAGATGCTCATGATGAGGGTAAGTGACTGTAAATAAGTAGCTTTTGCACTGGGTCTACACCACCAGAGATCTAGGTGTTAAAGAAAAATGAGTCAATCCTAAATCAGATAATGCTTTATACAGTGAATAAATAAATAAGTAAATAAATAAATAAATAAATAAATAAATAAAAACGTCTAACCTAATGGTTCCGTGGATTAAATAAAACAGCTGACTTTGGCACTCAAAGGTCTTATTCTGATACAGTCATTTATTTTCTCCAAGACCCTAAGTAATTTAATCTCTTCTCTGCGTTGGTTTTAAGATGGAGAGAAGGACCTGCCTCTGAGGGTTTTGGTGGGCAATAAAAATAACTGTAAAGCACTTTTCCGGCACAAAGTGCTGCATAAATGCTTAATGATTTCCTTTAATGATATCATGGACATGGGCACTGTACTTTTAGGTGAAATATTTTCATTTGAGTTATAGCGTGTAATACTCTAGATGTCGAGGCCTGATGGATGGCTGAACTAAGGATCTTTTGTTTTTCTGGAGTCTGGATAATTTAATCATTCTTCTTTATCTCCAGAAATTACATCTAATTAAACATATGCAGGGCTCAGATCTCACAGAGGAGGCTAATGATCATGTATATAGAGAGAGGGGACTTTGTCAGACACCATGAATGAGACTGTCTTCAGGCCATCAGTTTTGTTCATGAATTCTGCTTTTGAGGAAAAAGATGCACTGGGGCCCTTTTTTTTTTTTTTTTTAATAACTTACTCTGATTTAGAAAATCATAGTCTTATATTATACTGAGTCCAGGTTAGAGTCTCAAAGGGCGGGCATTTACTTTCTCACACAGGTGGGCATTTTATTCTCTAGAGCCAGAAAGAGAGCATTTGATCAAACATACCCATCTACCATGGAGGAGCCACATTCTTTTCTGTAATTATTATCCAAAGCAAAAGGTAAGAAGGAAAAAGGCAGTGACAATTTTTTTTTACAAAAATATAGGTATGAGAGTGCCTGGCTGGCTCAGTCAGCGGAGCACGCGAGTGACGTCGATCTTGGAGTTGTGAGTTCCAGCCCCATGGTGGGTGTAGAGATTACTTAAAAATGAAATCTTAAAAAAAAAAAAATGTAAACATAAAATCCTTTTATTATTTTGTGTGTGTCATAATCTAAATGAGTTTGAGAACCTCTACCCTACAGGTCAGTTTGTGAACTTTGAAGACTTCATTCCCATCCATGCTTCCCAACTCCGAGTTATTCCAATTTTCAAACACCAGCTGTGCCTTCTCCCCTTTCCCACACATCCTCTCTCGACAGCTCCCATCTACTCATGCGAACCTTGTGCCAGATTTTGTACAACACAATACACGTGATCTCATGTAATGCATTCAGTAGGTCTGTAGGGTGGGAGTTCTTTATCCCATTTTTCAGATAAGATAATGATGCTCAGCGAAGTTAAATAATTAAGCCCAAGTCATGCAGCTAGTAAGAAGCAGATCCTGGATTCAAACATGGTGTAGCTGCTCCCGAGGTTAGGTGGATAAGGCCCCTCCCCACCCCCACCCCCAATGTGCCTTTTCACAGAGCTTCGTCCTTAGATGGTGAGGAAGGGAAGGCGGAGGATGGAGAAAGGAAAGTGCACAAAATTACTGTTCCTTCTTAGAAAGAAAGAAGGTTTAGTGCTGGAAACAACCCTTCAGATTTTCCAGCTACTTTCCATGCTTTTTAGAAAAGGAAACAGATACTCAAACAAGTGAAATGGTTTTTACAAGGTCATCCCCGTACCTTGAATGAATAAAAACTAAACACAGTATGTGGGGCTCTGGCTCAGTATCCAGGATTTTCAACTCCCGGGTCTATTCTTTCCACCATAGTATCCCCTGCCCTGCTCCACCCCTCATTTTAAAAAAAAAAATAATAATAATAATAATTTAAATGAGTGATTTACCTCTTAGTAAAAAAATACATATGTAAATAGTTGCAACTGTTACGATGACCTGGACCAGCCATCTGTCATATACACTTGTGTGGAGGGAAAGGCCTACTTCTGGATTCATTCATTGTTCATTCAACTCATGTTTTAGAGCATTTCCCATATGCAGAGCTCTGTGTCAGGGTCAGGAGACAGTACCAAACTGGGCTGATTGCTCCCTGCAGATATAAGCAGTTTTTAGCCTAATGAATGTAAAATTTGAAAGATTTGACTCTTCTATCATACACCATGGGTCAAGAGGAAAAAATAGTGAAGTTGATCCAAAACATTGATTCTTATCATAGTGTTCTTTTAATACTTGAATCCTTGGCCTATTTCTATAGTAACTGATCCATTTTTAAATATGGCAAAGGAAAGTGTTTCATTCATTCAATGAATACTTGTTGCACACCCACTGTGTGCAAGGAAGTTTCTAGTCAGTTAGTTAAACAAAATAGACAAAAATATCTACCCTCATGGAGATGACATCCTAACTGGGAGAGACAGGAAAGAAAGAATGACCACAATGAATAAGTAAATTATATAGTATTTTAGAAGGTGATGTGGGTTAGAGAAAAACAAAATGTCAACGGATAAGCAGAGTTTGGAATTTGGAGGGGAAGTGGGGCAGATTGCAATTCTAAATAGGATGGCCAGAGCAGGCCTCGCTGACAATATTTGAGCTTACTGGAAGGTGAGACTGTTAGGCTTGTGGATTTCTGGTGGGGGGAGAACATGACAGCAAAGTGAACAGTCAGTGCCAGGCCCTAAGGTAGGAGCACTCAGCAAACCGTGTTGCTGAAGCAAAGTGAGCAAGAGGGAGAGTAGAAGGAAGGAGGTCAGGGAGCTAAGCAGGGCGGGCATGGTGGCTCAGGCAGGGCCTCGTAGCCCACTGTGAGGACCTGGCTTTACTCTACATCAAAAGGGGAGTCCCTGGGGCACTGTGGGCGGATCAGTGACAGGAAGAGACTTGGGTTTCCAAGGACCATTCTGGCTTCTGTGTTGGGAACGGACTTCAGAGGCAAGGGTAGAGACAAGGAGACCAATGACAAGATACCAGAGCATCACATGGAAGTAATCCAACTGAGAGACGAAGGTGGCCCAGGCCAGGGGGCTAGCAGAGGAGAGGGCAGAAATGGTTGGATTCTGGATATATTCTGAAGAAAGAGCCACAGATTTTCCTGGCAGGCTGGCTGGCATGGGGAGGGGATGAGGGAAATAGAAGAGTGCAGGCCGATGCCAAGGTTATTAGCCTGAGCAGCTGGAAGACCATTTCCTGGATGGGGGAGCCTGGGGGGAGAGCCAGTTTGCAGCAGTGAATTCAGGAACCAGGGTGGGGTCGTGTGAGGGGTGTGAACCTGTCTTAGGAGGAAGGTGTCAGTTTGGGAGTTAACCCCCTGGGGAAGCGGGGAGACTGGACAAGACCACTAAGGGGCTTACGCTATTTGGTAAAAACTGATGAGAAGGACCCGCTCATCTAAACAGAGAATTTCATTTTCCCAACGATGTAAGAACAGGGAGAGATGGTTAAGAGCAAAAGGACTGTTTGACAATGATTTATTTTTATTAAACAGCCCCTGAAAGAAAAACAAAACCAGGGAAGCACGTTTAATTTTTAAATTTATTTTTTCTCTATTATGGTTCCAGCCTTTGGCCAGGGGGCCGAGGCGTCTGTACCGAAAACTCAGAAATGTTTGGGCGAGAAGCAAAGCATGGAATTTCTTGTGTGCATGAAAATACTGACATCAGACAAAACCAGAAAGTGCAGTCAAGTCCCAGAGCCCGCTTTCTTTAGTTACTGTCACCGGAGGACTGTTTCATGTCGGCAGGGCCGGCCCCGTATCCAAAAGAGAGAAGGCACACGCGGGTCCTGAGGGAGAGAGACCCCTAAGGAAGCGCCGGCAGATGCTTACATAAAAGTTTCTACCCTTTTGAAATCTATCGCCATGACCATCGTGAATGAGAGCCTGAGGCTCTCCCACTATTCTAGAATCTCATCAAAATGGTAAAAGAAAAAAAAAAAGAAAAAGAAAAAGCAAGCAAGCAAGCAAGCAAGCCGGGATGGCGAGGTTCCCCGTGCCACGTCAGTTAGCACGGCGCTCGTCCCCTAAGTAGCGGCGGCAAGTCGCCGGGGCCCCTCCCTCCGTGTACCGGGGAGAAGCGAGCGCCCTGCAGGGGGGCGGCCGGCGGGGGCGGGGAGGCCGCTGCCCGCCCTGCTCGGCGAGGGAACCGCCTTCTCGGGCGGCTGCCCGCTGGCCTCACCTCTGCATCCTGCCGTCCCACGCTGCCGACGCAACCGGCGGAGGCTTTGTGGCGAGGAATCCAGCAACAGGAGGCTTGCCCTCCCGAAGTGCCTGCGCGCTCCGGAAGTCACTCTCCCGCCGCCGCCGTGAGTTACGTACGAGCCGCCGCGGGCTCTGCGTCGGCCGCATCCCCGGAGCTGCAAGCGCGGCAGTCTGCGCGGCCCGTGCCGTGCGCTCCCAGCAGGCTTCAGCTTTGCAGGCTTCCCCAAAGAGCACTCTGTGCTTCCTTCCCTCGACGGTGCTCCAGTTGCTACGTATCGAAACGATCTCTCTTGTTTGGGTCAGGTTACACAAGCGCAAGGCGACGAGTGCCCAAGAACCCAGATGCTGTGTGGCGCTGCACCAATCTCCTCTCACTTTGTGACTTTAAAGTCCCCTGGAAGCTATAGAGGGGAAGCCCGCGTGCGTGTATCTCCACAAGCCAGTCCTCTCATTCCAAGCCATCCTCCCAGGAAATTCGTATTCCGCCGGCATCAACGCGGCCGCTGTAATTGCTCGTAAAGCCATCCGTGGGACTTTGCGGCAGGCGCCTTTCCTAAGCTCTGTAATTAGTTCTTGGAAAGCCATAGAAGGAGCTTGTTCAGAGCACTGTTAAATCAAAAGCAGGCTTCCTGTTGGCCTGCTCAGATGGAGCCGTCGTCGTTTAAAGCAGATAATGAACCAGGCTGAAGAAATCTCCGAACAACCACTCATTCTCCAGCTGTGGAGTCGATGTGCCACCCAAGACGGAAATAGCGTGCACGCGCCATATGCTGATGCACAGATCACCGCTCTTCTGATGCACAGAAGACCTCGGAGCATGAGCTGTAACTATTGGCCAGACACTTGCTTGCTTACATGATTTTCTTTAACTCATTGGTTTGCTTGTTTGTTTGCTCACGGACACTGAGCTTGTTTTGATAAAAACATTTCAGAAAGCCGTGTGGGTGGGGCATGTATCACGAGCTGAAAGTGCAAACTAGCCAGGCTGGTCGATGGGCCCTGGTCCGTATGCATGAGCTCAGACTGGATAATAATACTAAAGCTGCAGTTTATTGAGTGACAGCTACGTCCAAACAGTCTTTGACCCTTGTGCATGTATCCTCCCAAGAGCCCTAAGAAGACAAAGTGATTGCCACTATCATTTAGATTAGAGCCTGGTGTTAAAGCGTTGTTGTGTACCTCCGGTGATTCATGAAAATAAGGCGGATTAGAGCTCTCCTTCTCCATGTCTAAATAAAACTGCTCAGGTAAAAGCACAGTGCCTTATACACATTAAATACTCAATAAATGTTCTGACTGACTCGGTGAAACTCACACTTAGTCACTAGTTTTAAAAGGGAACTGGCCAATTTTCTATAGTAGTGGTTCTCCACTGGGGATGATCTTGTACCTAGGGAACATTTGGCAATGTCTAGAGACATTTTTAATTGTCATAGTTGGGGAGAGGGGCTTTGCTACTAGCAACTAGTGGGTAGAGGCCAAGGATGCCGCCAAACATTCTACAAGACACAGGACAGCCCCTCCCCACAAAAAATCATCCAACTCAAAATGTCAGTCGTGTTAAAGTTGAGAAATCCCGATCAATAGCTAAAGTCAACCAATAGATCAACATTTGTTGATTAATATTTAAATTATCAAATGTCAACCCCGCCCCCCAAAATGGTTAACCTCAGAGGCTCTGATGTAGGATTGTATACTAGAACTGGCCAAAGGTGTGTCCTTTACATTCCAAAATCTAGACAAGTATCTAGCACAAATATTAACTCCATACACCTTGGTTTGGGAGACACCTGAGAAAGATCAGGATGCCAAGCTCAATCTTGTATATGGGAGTTAATTTTGAACTATCATGTGAAATGAAAACCCAGCCACTATACCAGTATAAAAATGGGCTGCCCCTAAGACCCATACCAACTCAGACGAAAATTTCAACAAATTCCGAAGAACCAATGACATGGAGACCAGGTTGTGTATCCACAAGAATGTAAAAACTATAAACCAAGGATAAACATGAAAGCAAAAATTTTAAAACAATATTTTGAGAAAAGAAAAGATACACATCTAAATAATTCTTGGATTAAGGAATAACTCATACTACTTTTAGCATTTGCTTTTGTCACTTAATAATCTATCATACACATTTCTCCCATACCTTTTTAAAAAGATTTTATTTATTTATTTGAGAGAGAGAGAGCGAGAGAGAGAGCACGAGAAGGGGAGGAAGGGCAGAGGAAGATAGGGAAGCAGACTCCCCGCTGAGCAGGGATCCTGATGTGGGACTCAATCCCAAGACCCTGGGATCATGACCTGAGCCAAAGGCCGACACTTAACAGACTGGGCCACCCAGGCTCCCTCTCCTATACCTTTAAAATCTGTTCTAAAATATGACTTTTTGGGGCACTTGGTGGCTCAATCGGTTAAGTGTTGACTCTTGATTTTGGCTCAGGTTATGATCTTAGGGTCGTGAGATTCAGCCCCATATTGGGCTCTGTGCTCAGTGCAGAGTTTGCTTGAGATTCTCTCTCCCTCTCCCTGTTCCTCTCCCCCTGCTCTCTCTTTCTCTCAGATAAATAAATAAAATCTTTTTAAAAAATAAAATAAAATATGACTTTTCAGGGCAGCATGATATTCTAACACATGGATGGCATATAATTTATTTAACTAATCCCTTATTTAGGCATATTTACATTATTTTCTATTTTTAGCTATGATAAATCATACTATCATGAACATGAAATATTAACATTTTTACTAAATTGCTCACAAATATATTTTGCACCGTTCAGTTCTTCTTATGTTGCTTAATTAGAATATTCCCAGTTGGAGGCCAGCTGTACAACAACTTTATCTGAAGGAAGAGTAACCATAAAAGAAAGAAATTGAGAGAGAGAGAGAGAGAAAAGAAACCCTGCGTTCTAGATCTTTCCACAACTATGATTGCTCAAGGAAAACATCCAGCCAGGTGCGAGTGGCTTGTGTCACCATCTGAAGAAGAACAAGGCGAAGGACAGTATAGATAGATACTGCATTATCATATGCCGTCGTTATAGTTTGTAGATCTCACACGTTCACATGTAAATAACAGATGCCAAGTGATCTCCTCCACAAGCTGCCTCCAAATCGAACTAAAAATGCTATCACTGAAGCCAGACAAGCTAGAACAGCAAGGACAATACTTCAAACGATGATATGAGTTTCATTTAACACCGAGAAAACAAGCATTTCTAGATAACTACAGATCCTGTAAGACAAACAATTCGGGAAAAGGGGAAATAGATGGGTGAGACAAAACTAAAAGGAGGAAAACGGGATGCAATTCATCAGGACTGAAAATACCGGCAGTCCCAGCGCAAGGGGCATTAGCCGAGTAATCAGGTGAGATGCATGTGAATGTTGACACGATCCACACTGCCTGAACTCCGAGGGAAGCACCGGGCAACGCCTGGCAGGAGTCCACACTGGCTTCAAACTGCCTTGGCTCGCCTCCGGTGGTAGAGCTGGGTGGCTTTGGCCAAGTTCACCAAGCCTCGGTTTCTGTATTTCTGAAGTGGCTGTAATAACATCCTCTATCTCACAGGGATGCTATGAGAATTAAATGCAAAATCCCATGTCAATAAAGCGTTTAGCATACTGCCACGCACATTCGTATGTGTTCAGTAAGCAGTCGCCATTATTACGTGAACTTCAAAAGATTAAGAAAAGCCAGATGGCCAGTTGAAAAACAGGAACAGGAACTAGAGGTTGTTACTATGCCTCTGTAGTAAACCCCGTAGTTCTTTTTAACACAAGGACATAAATTTAGTTCTACGAACCGCTTTGAAAACATTCTAAATTCTTTTTTTTTTTTAAGATTTTTTTTTTTTTTTTTTATTCATGAGAGACAGAGAGAGACAGAGGCAGAGGGAGAAGCAGGCTCCCCGCGGAGCAGGGAGCCCGATGCGGGACTCGATCCCAGGACCCTGAGATCATGACCTGAGCTGAAGGCAGATGCTTAACCGACTGAGCCACCCAGGCGTCCTGAAAACATTCTAAATTCTAAATTGGAAGTGCTGTGAAATCCGTGTGTGGGTTTCTAATACGCTCTAGTCATTAAAATAGATATTTAATTTATCTTGGCAAGCCTGCCTGTGGAACTGAGACCATTAGGGCATGAATGCTGGTAGATCAGCGACTTTAAGGGACACGAGCGAAATCAGGTCGCCTGGGGTCACCTCCCATTGGCTGCCTCTGATTGGAGGTTGACCGCATTCTTTTATAAGTGGTGAGGATACAGACCCATGCTCCATGATTTGGCAAAAAATAATAAAGTTTATTTATATTTGCCAAATGCATTCCCTTGATAATGGCTGGATGCCAAAACATTGTTTTCTGTTTTGCTTTGGTTTTGTTTTGTTTTATTTTATTTTAAGAACTTGGCTTTGAAATATGGAAATTCCCATGATGAGAGGCCACTCAGTGAGAACTGATGATCCCAAAGAATTATCAGCTACTGAGTGTTCCTCTCCACTGAGTCCATAAAACCCTTCCAACTGGAGATAGCTTTAATTTCCTTTCAGTGAGAACGCAGCCTATCTATCTATACTGGGCCTTTTCTTGACTTCATCATTTCCCCAGGTTGTATTTCAAAGCATCTTATTCATTTACAAAATTAAACAAAAGGTAATCATCTTTCCCTTTTTAAAAGCAAATCTGACTTCTTTGTTCCAATAATCCTAGAAACTACGTATGGGCAAGATTTCTATTCCCAAAGATGTTTACCTTTGAAAAAGGGGGAAATGTCTGACCCCAAATGCTGCTTCTGGAGTGACCATCTCCTTGTGAAAGGAGACCCCTTTCCGCACGGAAATGAAGGGGCAAATGGTTGGTCTAGGGCTTTCTCTCTGTCCCCTCGGTCTGGTTGGGTTCGTGTGGTGCCTCTGCTTAGTGGCTAGATGCTTTGCCTTGGCAGAGAAATGTATTGTCTATTTTAATGCTGACCTGTGATGTTTTATTCACATTTTAAATCTTTTATGGCCTGTGGTTCCCGTGAGATTTTCCCTTTTGTTAGCATTTTTTCCTGATTGGTATTGATTCTCTATTTTGCCAAAGGGTTAGGAAACCTACTGCCCTGTTGGCATCATTGCCAAGAATCCGGTGGCTGTTTTCCTCCCCACAAAAGCAGTATCTATAGCCATTTAATTATATAGTTTATTTTTAAATCAAGTATGAAAGAACCAGGGATCGTCTTTCACTTAAAGTCAGCTTAGCGTGTTCACAGAACGTCAAACATTCTCAGTTCCTTCAGTTATTGAAATGGGTGTCCTCATCTAAAAGAAAATCAGTACATCTGGTTTTACCCAGCCTAATGTCACAAGATTTTACTGTATACCACTTTCTTTCTTCAGATAGAAATAGGGTCCATAACTTCAAAAACTGTCAAAGAGAAATAAACACGCTCTGTGGGAAAAATAATAACTCTAGACACTCCAGTTGCAAAATAATTCTCCTACCTTCCATCAGACACAGCCTGCCTGGAACGGTGACCCCAAACTTCCTTAAATGCCCAAACTGAAGCTGTTCTTATATTTTCTATCTAGAGGAATACGAAGGTGTTCTCTGGCAATTGAATTTTTATGAAATAAAAAGTGTTATTCATAGGTATGATCAGTAGAGAATAGGCAGGTTATGTCTTACAATTCGTTTTTTCAAAGGCCAAAATCCATGTATCCAGAGACCGTCGATTGTGTAGATTAGAGAGAAGGGATAGTCCAATGTGGAATGGGCCTTTCTGGGCCACCCAGAATTCCCAATCTCTCACATTTCCTTATTCCAAAACTTACTACAACGCTACAGTAATCAAAACAGTGTGGTACTGGCCTAAAGACAGACATATAGATCAACAGAATAAAGTAGCCCAGAAATAAACCCTCACATTTATGGTCAAATGATTCTCAACAAGAATACTAACACTGTTCAATGGGGAAAGGACAGCCTTTTCAACAA